TACCTTATATACAAAATGTATTGACCCTCTCAATTTAAAGTCATTGCCCCTTGACCTGTCACTACAGGACTTGGCTAAAGTCTTTCTTCATCCTTCTTGTAAATCCCCTTTATGTACTAAAAGGCTGCAAATATTTTCTTGTTGTTCTTGAGACAATATTTTATTTTAAAAGGTAATCTCATTATTTCCACGTATGAGCATTCATAAATCATCAACCAGGCACAATAAAAACATGATGATGATAATAATGATAATGATGATGATGATGGTGATAGTGATATTGATGGTAGGTAGATAAGTGTAGATGATGATGGTTCACATTAGAGTCTGTGAATATATCTGTAGGTTAATGAGAGATGATTCATAATAACATGATTCTAAGTGAGGCAGTAAGAAAGGTGTCTGTAGAGATGCCATGTCTAGAGATGTCTTGTCCTATCTCATTAATAAGAAATTAGGAAACTGAAAACTAAATTATTTTCTGAATTACACAAGAATAATTTACAGCTTAATTCTGCAGAGATGTTTTGTCTATACAAGACTGATCTGTACCCTCCAGATCTGAAACATGACAGATCTCAAGATTCAGTGTGAGATTATAACGTTTAGAAATGCCCCAATCATACCTCCAAATTCAAAACACAGTGTAATCTGGAAAGTACCAAGGTCTTTGAAGTTTTAATAGCAGTTTTAATACATGGCAATGTAGCATATTCATTGTATTATTAGAAAATAAATGTTAATACAAGTATGAAAGAAATGTAAAGCAAATTTTAAGGTCAGAATTATTTAATCCCATTAATCCAACACAAATATTTTGAAAATGACATAATCTCCAGAGTTTCTCATCAGGAATTTCATTCCCATGAGACCTTTCTTATTCTCTCTAGGTCTAACTGTTACTCATTCTGGTTTATTTATGTTATTTCTGATTTGTAAACAGTGTAATTCCAAGTGTCTTGTTTTTAATGAAATGTAGCAGTGACATTTAATTGGAATTTAGATAAATGAGCATACAGATCCATGTCTATTTTCTTCAAGTTTATATGCATATATCTATGAAAAATTAAAAAGGTAGATAGATAAAAACCAAAGACTTGTCCTTGTTACCATGTCCTATCACTCTTCAGCCCAAATAGAAGGAATGTATTAAGTGATCAATAAAGTTTCTTTGTGGATTCCTCTGACTATTGAAATAATATGATATGGTTTAGTGGGCGTGCTGGTATTTGGTCAAAGGTTGGACTTGATGATCTTGGAGGTCTTTTTCAAACTTAATGATTCTATAATTCTATGAAAATAATCCAGAGAAGGGTAATGAAGCTAGTGAAGGTTCTGGAGCACTGAAGCGTCTTATGAGGAGTGGCTGAGGGAGTCGGGGTTGTTTAGCCTGGAGAAAAGGAGTCTCAGGGGAGACTGTCTCTCTCTACAACTACCGGGAAAGGAGGCTGTAGATGGGGGAGAATCAATCTTTTCTCTCAAGTAACAAGTGACAGGACGAGGAAAGTTGTGCCAGTGGAGGTTTAGATTGGATATTAGGAAATATTTCTTCACTGAAAGGGTTGTCAAGCATTCAACAGGATGCTCAGGGAAGTAGTGGTATCATTGTCCCTAGAAGTGTTCAAAAATGTGTAGATGTGGTGCTTAGGGACATGGTTTAGTGATGGAACTGTCAGTGTTAGGTTAGTGGTTGGACTTGAGGATCTTAGAGGTCTTTTCCGACCTTAATGGTTCTATAGTTCCATGATTCTATGAAAAGTATTATGAGAGAATCTTACAAAGAGCCCTTACAAAGAAAAAACTGTACCTGAAAAAACTGAGGGCTTCTTTGTTCTGTGGAAGATAATTAAGTAGTGGCCTTTTTATAAATACCATAGAACCATCATTGAACCATATTTTGTTTGGGTTGGAAGGGACCTTTAGAGATCATCTAGTTCCAAAACTCCTGCCATTGGCAGGGGCAACTTCTACAAGACCAGGTTGTTTAGAGCACCATCCAGCCTGGCCTTGAACTATTCCAGGGATGGGGCATTCACAACAACGTCTCTGGGAAATCTGTTCCCATGTCTTACCACCAGTATGTATCAGAGTGTATTATCACTTGTAATGCTTCTGAAGTTTGAGACTGTAAGCCTCTATAGCACACTATGCATAAAAAGAAACAGTTCTTCCCCTCAAAGATTTTAATGCTAACTGAACCCAGGGAACTACTTAACTTCGTTTTACAGACAGAGCAGGTGACTTTTCCAAGGGCAAATCACACATGCTAAAAGCAAGCAATAAAAACTGCCTCTTAGAGCACCCTTTACTGAGTGCCATCATAATAATCCACCCATCATTTCAGTGTGCCATTAACATTCATTATGCCATGCACATGTTGGTTCATATTGTAGTGGGATGTACTGCTAATTCCTGCACAAATGTTCTGTTCACTTAATCTGTTGATAAGAGACACAGCAAAGACCTTTCTGATGTTTTCAAAACATGTAGCAGGTGGAACAGGTGGTGTTCAAGGTGTTCAAGGTGAAGGAAAGGACTAACTCAGGTTCACTGGAGCTAAGGAGGTACTCAGCCATCTTTGGCTCGGTGTATTAAACAGAGTAGGAAATGGGCAAACTTGCTTATTTAATGCCAGTGTTTTGGGAAGCACCCTGACCACCAGGAACCTGACCATTACTGACCATATCTAGTATCTCTTTATGAAGGAACCCCTATCAATGTAGATTCTCTGCATCATGCAAGGCTTCATACTGTGCCCTCACCAGGGCATGACTAGGTTTCTGTCCTCTATCCCAGCTATCCCAAGGATCTTGTCTCTGGCCAGTATTTATGCTCAGAAGCTCTGAAATAGCATGACCACACTGTGGTTGAAGACAGATCTTTGACAGTAAACAACATAACTTCTCTGACACAGATAATCGACTTCATTTTCCTCCAGAACAGACTCCAGAATCTGTTACCAGCAAGAACTTGTGATTTTAGTTAGAGTACAGTATTCTGTGACTGTGTACATGCTAGTGTTTACTTAGCAAATAAGGACCTAATCAAGATCCCATTGAAGTCAGTGGGAAGGATCCTATTGCCTCTGGATCAGGTACTGAATTGCTTTTACATTGTCTGTCATTAAGTATAGTGTACCTATTAAATGCCTTTTAAAATATTGTCCAAATATATAATACAAAAGAAAATCATAATTTTTTACTTCTGTCCCAAAATTTAAAACTAATTGGCTATAACGTGTCCATTACTGGGAAGCACCATTTTATCAGTGACAATAGGGACCAGTGACAGCAAACTCTTGGTTCCTAACCTTAGAAAACTCTTGCTGAAATTACTGTAACTCAGAGAATAGAAAGTGCAGGAATCTCTCTCCATCCAGGAAACAGCCTCATCCCCTTATCATTCAAAGCCTCACTCCTTCATCTCACCACAGAGCATATGGTACAAATGGGAATATGCAAAGGGGCAGGACCGTGGTCTTGTTTCCAGGTTAATTGAGGGCCTGAGCAACTTCCAAGTAAAGGCACTGTCTGTCCCTGAGGCTTTGTGTAGACTGTGGCTAATCAATCTCAATGAAAAAAAAAAAAAAAGATTTTCGAGGCAATTCAGCAGATTTTATTGCTACAAAAGCGAGGAAATCTTGCTCTGCTCCACTTGAGTCTCATTCTCACATACTCTCTCCCTCCTCTATCCTACTTCATCCTCCTTCTCTTTCCCTCAGTCACAGTTATACCATCCCACCCATATTCTATCTCTGATCACACTTGTGTGATTTGATTCACCAAAATGTCAGAAAGCTCTTCATTTTTTTTTTCTACTCTTGTTTTTTGTTATTTCAGTGAATTAAACTGACACAGAAGTGTGTGACAAGTGCTGAAGCTGACACAATGTTAGCAGTGGGAGTGTGTGGCCAGGAATAGGGTGGACAGAGAGACACAGAAGGGAAAACCAACCTGGTTTTGGCAGTGGTGAGCTGTCTGCGAATGAAGCAATTAAGGGAGCTGTACCCAGCTGGTGGTAGAGCCCTTAGGCCTCAGCTTTGCATAAAGAGAATAGTCCCTTGACTTTAGTGGTTTGCTTCTGTTAACACCTATTTAGCAGTTGTTTGCAGATAGGCTAGGTATACAAGAATAAGTGCTGCTAATAGAGCTGCTTGGAGTATCTGCAGAAACTCTCAAAACCACTTCTTTAAGGGTGAACATATTCTCTAAGCTCAGCTCTATTCTTGCATCATTCACAGAGAAACGCGAGATGTTTGTATAGCTACCCACTGAAAAACTTGGCAGGCCTCCTTACTATTCTTTTCCTGGATGCTGCCCACCAAAGCACAGTGCAAATACATGAATAGTGAAGTGCCTATTCAGTCTGTAAGCTTGTAGGAGTATGTACTTATATGAATACAAACATTTTCTCCCAGTTTGGTAAAGAAAAAAAGAATACATACTGGAAAATGGCATTTCAATATCAAGACAAGCAACCTGAGATAACTTGCAAGAGAAGTAAGCGTGGAAAATTTTTACTTACATGTAGCTACATAAGGTCAAACTACACAGTTTACCTAGACTACCTACAGAGTGTAGAGTCTCACTGTATTTGTAAGGGATAGAGTGGATAACTGTGAAGGGATTAGTGTAATACATAGTTTATATATTTTGAAGTTTGTTCTTTGAGAAGAAATAAAGAACAGTCCACTTTATAAAAAAAAAAAAGGGTTTTCATTTAAAGATCATAGGAATAGGCAATGAGCAAAATACCTAAATGCAGAGACAGACATGTTTGGCTTTATCAACTGGAGACAGAGCAGGAAATATATTATTAAACATCACCATCTACTGGATGCCAGTAACTGTTCCTTTCAAAGGAAACCGTAAGCTTCTACGCTGAATTAACTTGTCAGACAAGCCTCTGCTTTCACAGATCTGACATTGCTTGTGAAGTTATTGGCAAGCCAAGGTTTGTGGACCTTTTCAGTACCAAGCTGGGAAAAGATTTTCAGCATTATGAAAACAAACTCAGAAAGTTCGGGTTGCTATAATGCAGGCTATGAAATTGTTAATAAGGCAGAATGGGAACTGATAGAAAGAAGGTGAGTGTAGTCAGATGTGAGGGCAATAGCATCTTCTGGATAATCAATTTGTTTCCTTGTGGTATTTTTGTGTAGATAAACACATGCATGTGTACCACACAGAGCTCCATGGTTGTCCCCCCGGGTAGTTCATGCTGACTGTAGCTCCATGGTTTTGAATATTAACATTTTACTCTCTCGGCTGCACAGAAAAAGTTCAAGCATATCTCTGTGATTTACAGCATCAAGACTGGGAGGGGGTTTCACAGAGCTTGCTGAAGTCAAAAGACACCAGTGCAGATTGCACTCCCCTGCTTTAACTGCTAGACAGGACTAGCTGGGCAACAAAAAATGCTCCTTCCCTTCCCCACTGAGAGCAGAAATCCCTGGCCACACAGTTAAGGGTCCTTGCCTGATGCCTGATGCCCTCCCCCTACTTTTACCTCTCTCTCCATCTCTTTTTACTACAAGTGTCAGAGAAGCCACAGCACTGAGTGGTAGCAGCCGGTGAAACAAGTACACTCCTCTGTGGTAGAAGAGAGATCCAATGGAAAAGTGGTAAAATTGGAGGGCCCTCCTCTTTCTTTCCCTTTGCTTTCTCTAAGGTTTCATTTCGTCGCATTCACAAAACCGGTGACTTGAGAGACCAGAACTAAACAAATTCTTTAGAGAAATTACTTATAAAAAGTTGCTGAGGTATAAGCACACTGAGAAGGGCTCAGAAAGAAGCTGCAATAAGAACACAAAACCCAAGAACTTTTCCTTATTAGTGAGTGATGACCTGAAACCATCATTACAATTATTATATCAAGAAGAATGATTTAATTACTATTGGAAACAGCAAATCTAAATTATGGACCCTTTAATTAATAAGTAGATATTAATCTAAAGAAATCTGTATGATAAAAATATCTATTCCTGGTTATACCCTTGCAGAAGATGTTGCCAGTGACAGTGTGAAATGCAGGAGATTTTAGCTAATGCACTAACTTTTTTTAATTTTCAAAACCAAAATACTGTCAAAAAGTAAACGCTGAGATGTGGAAAATAAGTGGGAAGGCTGTCTTGTTTGAATTGGTGGTGGTTAAAACTGTTTCTTGTAATTTTACAGAAAACCAGAAATGGAGCTTCAGAAAGAGCTAAATACGTTCATGCTATGTCAAAGCAGAGAGAATGACAAACACTGACAATAATGAGAAATTACTTTATTATTTCCTTGTAGAGTACTGGTATGTACCATACTCTATTGTTATTGTACTATCAGCATATTTGGAAAGAAATAGGTGTTAGAACCTACCAAATAGTCCTGACATCAACACCCTATAAAAAAGCACTGTGTAGTTCATTTTTCTGGGGAGGATATGAGGTGAAACAGTTTCCAACACTTAGGTAAATATCATGCAGTTACACGAGAACAGATCAATAACAAATTGAACTTCTATTGCTTCATTTACCTTCCAAACATTTTGAGGTTCAAAACAGAGAACCCCTCAAGTAGATTGTTGTTACTGGCAAGTCACACTGATACAAATAAGTTTAAAAACGTTTTGTTTTAATGTGCTGTGTTGGCAACAAGAAAAAACAAGATGAAATGGTGCAATACTTGAGTGTTGATATAAAAGATATTTCAGATGTATATTTTAGAAAAAAAAATTCTATTGTGCTACAAAGCACATGTGTCTATTCACTCCAGGCTGTATAACAGAATCTGTTGAATTTTGGTGGGATTACACCATTACAAAATTCACCTAAAACTAAGCAAGGCTTTCTAGGCTCTCAGGACAGACAAGGAAGAGAAACAAATTTGTTGAGAAAATGGCTTGTTCCACTGGGTAATGTGTCTGGTATGAATTATCCCTGGGATATACCTTTTCTTCTCCGCTGACTATAAAGGGAGACTAAGGTGAACAGATTAGACACAGAAAACTTACTCTGAGACAGAGTTAGGCAAGAGGTATCACATGCTTCAGGGACAAATCACTGAACCATAAATTAGTTTGGATTGGAAGGGACCTTTAATGCTCACCTAGTCCAACCCACCTGCAATGTGCAGGGACACCTTCAACTAGATCAGGTTGCTCAGAATCCTACCCCATCCAACCTGACTTTGAAAGTTTCCAGGGATGGGGATTGGGCATCTACCCCATTTCCGGGCAATTCTATCTATCTAATCAATCAATCAATCAATCAATCTATCTATCTATCTATCTATCTATCTATCTATCTATCTATCTATCTATCAATCACTCATTCTCTCTCTCTCTGCAATTCTTGAAGAGGAAAACTATAAAGAAACAAAGAGATGTAGATGTATGTTTTGACCATTCTACTTCATAATTGGATTTTACTCAGTAATGAACAATGCGTTAGGATCACAATTCTCAATGGACACCCCAAAAAATAATAATAAAAATTTCTAGGCACTGGCAATGCTGTAATGTCCATAGTACTTACGGCTCCAGCTAGCCCAATTCTATACCTGCCCCCTCTTTTCTGTCTTCCAAAGGCTGAAATCATACATTTGGATCGACTGTTAACTCCAGCAACAGGGAGCTTAGACGTGGGTAGGATTGTCCACTGCCATAGCTTTTGGTGTCCCTCTTTTCCTTTGGCAGGATTACAAATAGCTGTTGTCCCAGGGTGGAACCTAGTTGACCCCTGGGCTGGACCCCTCACTCAATTAATCTCTGTGGTGATGATGGCTAGGCTTCATTAGTGACACTGAGGGTATTCTGGCATCATAGCAAAGGAGAATCCTGCTCTTAAGGAACAAAAAGTTACATTTAGCTCCATAATACCAAAAAGATAATATCGCATTGAGATTTGCTCACAAAAGATTCAACACAACAATTAGTAGCTGAGAGGTTTTATTATCCCATGGAAATATAGGTACTTGTGGACCAAATGCTGAAGTGCTCAGGCCAGCGAAAAGTCACAGAAAAGTCAGAGAGTCAAATGCTGTTTCACCATAACCTCAAACAAAGCCATTGGGACCAGAAGATGAACTGTTACAGTGAGTTACACTAAGAATTGATGCACTGACACAGGCAGGTATGGACAAAGTCATATGTAGCATCACTTAATGAAGTAAGACAGAGACATGGGAACAGTGAAGACATGTTTGAATAGAGTGACCAGCAAGGAAAGAAATATGTTTTACACAGTGAAGGGAAGAGGTGTAAGCAGAACAGCAGAAAGTTCCGGCTAAATGCCATCTTTGTCTCTAGGACCCTCTCACATGCCTTCCTCATTTCTGAAGTCCGTTGTTTATTACTTATGAAGAGGTTTTGGGCTTTTGGCAGATATGAGCACACCTGGGGTTTTATTAAATATGGATGTAATAGATGACAGCTGACAGCTGGTCTGAAAATGTATCTGTGCAGGAGTGGAAGTGATCATAATCTGCTGCTTTGTAGTGCTTGTGGGATCAATGACTTGAAGTGCAACAGAAGACTGGAGGAGAGTAGAAGACAGAACAGCTCTTCACAAGTTTTTTGTCTGTGACAGACCAACACTACTTGATGGCTAGAAGAATGCCTCTCAATTCATCCTATACAATATTTCAGGGCTGCTTGCTACCACAAGCTGTACTAAATTTCCCAGTCCTTATCTGGAGGAGCACAACACTCAAGATTTTGCTTGAATGAGAACATATTTAAACAGTGGATGTTGCAGTGATCAGACTAATTTTCTATACTACTGACAATTTTGCTCTCTGAAAAAAGCAGGGACCATCTTTCTGTGATTGTCTCCTGCCATCTCTCAGTCAGCATGCTGAAATGGAGCAAAGCAAAGACACGTCTGCCATATGAATTTGACTTTGTACAGACTGAAGATGTTTTGTTCAATCACCCACAAAACTACACTAGGAATTAAGGAAATACTGACAGTGATAGACAGAGCCCAGAAGGGTCCAACGACCAGCTTCCCTCGTCTTGGTCTTGCGGCCGTCGGGAGGCTGCTGCGCAGACTAAAGCACCCATCGGTCACCCCTCTCCCTCCTCCAGAGGGGAGGATGAGGACAGCATCCGCGGCCGCCTTCTGCCCAGAAGGAATGAGGGGAGCCTCGAGGCCCCCCTTTGGCCCCGTCGCGGCGGGATGCTCCCTGGCCAAAAGAGGGCCCTGCCGACAGGAGTTAATCATTAAGTCCCCAGCAGATCCGCTCCTAGCCGGCTCCCCTGAATCTCCCGGGCCTTCAGCCGTGCCCTGTCCCCTTCTGGCCTGACTGAGCACCGCGGCGGGAGGTGAGGCGTGAGGCAGGGACGGAGACAACTCCCCGCTGCCTCCCGACAGCCACCTCCGGGAACCCGTCCAAGGCGGAGCCCCCTCTGCGGGCGCGGCCGTCTCTGCCCGCAGGGGAGCGATGCAACCTCCCTGGAAGGCGCCGTAGGGCACACCTGTCCCC